TGTGATGATGCTTCTCCATCTTGGGGGGTTGTTCATGCTGTTTCATTGTCCTCCTGGATGTGACCATTCATGGGACCCCAGGGTGACCAGTAGCTGTTTTGGTGTGAGATTGCAGCTCCCCTGCCTGTTGGAACAGGGTGGAAATGTTGCTGTTTACCACCATTACCCAAATAATAGTCCTGGTCTTGAAATTTTACAGCAATGACTAGTGATATGAGAAACAAGGTCCCAAGACAAAGTCATCAGCAGATCTAACCCAATGAGAATGAAAGAATTCTACCTGTGAGTGACCAGTAGGAGGCTCTACAGAAATGGAGGGAAGCTGGGAGAACAGCAAGGTAGTCCTCCAATGGGCAGGCTGATCTCGGCTGTTTGGCATGGTGTGATGTCATCGTGCCGGTGCTCCATCATGACGCCATTGATTTGTCAAACCTGATAATTAAGAAGATTAAGATGCATCTCTGCATTGCGTCTGAGCCTTGGGGAAATGGACGCCTCTGCACATCACTGCCGGTCCACTATCCGACGAAGCGGAACGGCCTGCTGGGCGGTGCGGCTTAACGTGATGTGGGCAGCATTTCAAGGGCAGGAGCAGAGTCAAGCTAACTGCCTGCTTTGTTCAGCTTTGTCTGTCAGCAGACCCATAACCGACCACTTAGCCTCCTAATTTTACACCGGCCGCGTTTCTTGGCAGTACTGGGATTAGCTAGGCTGCCTATGACCCTCTGTCCTGGCTGTCGTGTAAAGCCTTTATATAGCACAGTCCAATTTAGCTCCAAATCAAAATCCAAAAGTAACTGCCTTTTCCAGCACTCCTGACATTTGTCCCCCTTTGATGTATTAATAGTAAAAAAATATACAAATAGAAGTTATATTTAGTATGATAAACTTAGTGGATGCTACTTTACAACGTCTGCTAAAACATTCATAATTTTCACATAGTCAAAATACAGTGGGCGGAATTACCATGGGCTGTCAGTTACCAGTGGGTGGGATTATCCTGGGCTGTCAGTTACCAGTGGGTGGGATTATCCTGGGCTGTCAGTTACCAGTGGGTGGGATTATCCTGTGCTGTCAATCACCAGTAGATGGGATTATCCTGTGCTGTCAGTTACCAGTGGGTGGGATTATCNTGGGATTATCCTGTGCTGTCAGTTACCAGTGGGTGGGATTATCCTGGGCTGTCAGTTACCAGTGGGTGGGATTATCCTGGACTGTCAATCACCAGTAGATGGGATTACCATGGGCTGTCAATTTTCCAGTGGGTGGGATTATCCTGGGCTGTCAATCACCAGTAGATGGGTTTGCCATGGGTGGTCAACCATAAATGGGCGGGATTATACTGAGCTGTCAATCACCAGTGGGTCTAGCTGTTTGCTTATTGGTTATTTGATGCCAATGTGCTAAATTTTACAGTGATTGGCTATGCATGGCAATTCCAACTAGTCTGGGTTTCTCATACTGTTCATTGGCTAATTGCTGTGGAGATTTATTGTGAATTGGGGTTGATAGGAAAAATTGCCAAAGTGAAAAGCTGCCACTGTCCTGGGAAGGTGACCAGTATTGTACTGGGTCAGGACCCAGAGTATTTTATCTGGTATACCAGGGAGTAATGGGTGTGTGGAGTGACTTATAGTCATTTTAAAAAATGAATTTTGAATCCAAGGTAGGTGGGGTTAACATGTACTGTCTTGCTTATCAGGAAAATCGCCTGCAAATGTGACTGGCAGCAGCTGGCGCCTGTATTTAGAGCTTATTTAGGGAGTTAAGGGAGAGTTAAAGGAGAGTTAAGGGCGAAAGCTGCTTTACCTGCACAGCCATGTCCAGAACCCAGGGAGTGTTCACTTTTACTACTTCCGGACCCGTCCAGCAGTCACTGACATGGAGACAGTTATGATTCCCTCCCCCGGCCCCCGAAAAGGGCAAGGGGGAGAGGTGCCATACACAGTTATCAATGCTGTGGCAGGGATTCAGGCTGAATGAGGCAAGGAATCAGACACCTGTTTCTACATGTCAGGAATGTCACCGGGTGCAGTGGGACACGAACGTGCCAGTTCCCACCACTTCTGCAGTGGCCTTCAGGAATACAGCTCATTTATTAAACATGATCCCACAAAATACCAAGACCGATGTGTAAAAACAAGAACGGGTCATCCAATATCAGTGTCTTATAAATGATTTCCAAATGACTGTGGGCAAACAAACTAGAGATCTACAGGCTTTGCCAATGGTTTTAATAGATATATTTTTGCTGAATAATTCCAGCAAAGCACCCTACTTACCAGTTTCTACAGCAGGAGCCATGCTGGGATTGTAGCTGCCAAGTCTTGATCCTTAATCTCTCTACTAGCTGTCTCCACGAGGTGTAAAATTAGAGGTAAATTCTTTGTCGTCGAACAGCATGCTACCTGTCACAGCCTTCTGATGAAGGCACAGACAGGATAACTACTGTAATGTTACTGCAATGGAAATGTGTTTGTTAATTGGAATGGGCCATAAACACCTGTGATTCCCACAGGAGAAGCAAACTTGAGCCTGTATATGGAGCTGTACCTGTCAGATGAGAGTCATCACAGACCCACAGGACTTGATGGGGACGAGGGGGGGGTTGATGGTGGATTTACGTGCATAATGTTATTCTGCACTTTTGGGTTCCAAAGATGTTATGTTGTAGGTGTCAAATAGTCAATGAGGATGTGGAGACGTGGCCAGAGGAATCGAGAATGCACGTGGTGAGAGAAGCTTCTGGAAAACAGATCTCGATCTTAGGGTGCAGCCTCTTTGTCTTTGTCCAGGGCTGCTTCAATCAGCCAGCACCCTTAAACATACTGTAGCACATAAGCAATTAGAATAGGCATGGTTTCATGGAACCAGAGAGAACCTCCTTGTGCACCTCCAGGGCTACCGGCCACACAGGAATGCACCGGCATCTTTGGCACTTCCCATGCAGCTCTGTCGCGTTGCCATGGTGCTGGCAGCGTCAGACTCTGGCAGTTGGGTACAGGGATCGGGGACAAAGGCAGTGGCCTCGGTGGGGTCTCCGGGTTAGAGGCTGTTGATCCCTAACATTTTCACGAGTAAATGTCACATTTACATTCACCAGAAGCATTTACCCATAGCCACTTGCAGTTTTGACTCAGGCAGAATTCAGATCAGGTCATTTACTCGAGGGTCCTGTGGCAGGGTGGCAGACCTCCAGGCTGAGTTGATATGTCTCACCATTAAACCTCCTGTCCCTTTTACCCTGAGATTGGTTTTCGCTCCATCCTACTTACAGGGACAGTGATGGACAGTTAAAGTCTATGAATAGCCCCCACCCAGTGATGGCCACCCCGACTCCCCACCGCATCGTAACTGCATTCCTGCACTAATGAGCTCTCTAGCCCCATTTGCTTTAACGAGACACTTGGCTTTGTGAGCACTACTAGCCTTGCACTCACAGCGGATAGCACAGGCCAATGGCACAACGCCGACTGCTGGCCTTGCACTCACAGCGGATAGCACAGGCCAATGGCACAACGCCGACTGCTGGCCTTGCACTCACAGCGGATAGCACAGGCCAATGGCACCACGCCGACTGCTGGCCGGCTCCTTGACCTCAGCGCTTTCTTCCTTCATCTGTCTGTCTCTGCTTCAACTCTCTGAGTTTGACCTCATGGCCTCAAGGTGACCAGGGCGACGGGCGATTCACTAAAAAAACAATATGCATCAGTGCGATAAAACCAATGTTTATTTGGGGGTTGTTTTTGTTTTTCAATGGACTGACATACAGTGTCCTCCAACACAATGTAGCACACTGTTTTATGGCTTAATTCATTAATGCATCTGAACAATTATTGAAAAGATGTGAGTTAAGTCCTTTATTCACTGGTGAACTCTCTTCTGCAAATAATCAGAACTGTTTTGTTCAGAGGCCAACTACTCTGTTGCCCATCAATGATGATGACAATAAGGTTCATGAAGAATAGCAGGATTTGGAGATCAGTTGTGTTTTTTTTTGTTTTCAAGTGTTTAGTCCTTGCCATGTTCTTCTGTCTGGTCCTTGCTGTGTTTTTTGGTCTTGCTTCTTTTCTGTGGTTTTGGGTCTTTGGTTCCTCCCGTGGTGTTTGGTCTTTGTTTCTTCCTGTGACTTTGCATCTTCAGTCCATCCTGTGGTCCATGTCCGAGGTGCCAGTGGCCCTTTGACATCCAGCCTCTGTGTAGGTGGAAGCAGAGAAGGAGCACGCTGGTGCTTTTTATCCCATTTCAACTGGTGCACAAAGAGGCCTGGTATGTCGGCATCCCACAGATGACCTTTGTGACAGCGTGGGTCCCAGCTATCTGAGGCTCTCGAGAGAGAATGTGACCCCTCGTCACACAGGTTCTGTGACACGATGATTATCTCAAGTTCCCTCCCTACATCCACTCCACAAATCTGATAGTTGTTCTCTGTGTGTTCTGAGTATTGTCCAACATGTTGATTACACATAAACAATACAAAGATAATGAAGACAAGTGGAGCTGAGCTAGACCACAAAGAGATGCACAAAAGTGATGTTCATAAACCAAGGGGAAACCATACTTATTTAGCCAACCCCACCTTACTCTATTATTGGCTGAGCCAGGCTAAGGTGCAACCAGTCACAGACCTGTGGGGAAAGGAACCTGAGCCTGATTTTCTGATGGCACCTTAACATCAGGAGTGGTCTGCCTTGCTTGTGGTGACAGACATTAAATGAAAAAGCATTAGCTGACTTTCTGAGTTTCCTGAGTTGTGAAACGTTGCAGGATTTTATGACATCTCACAGTACGCCCCCTAGTGGTGGGGTGAAAAGGCATGGTTGACCTGTCTGTGTGGATCCCCCATTTGATGACATGAACAGAACACAGAGCTCTGACTTTGCCTCTCAATTCGTCCTTCTGTGAAGCCCTCCTTTCCTTCTCACCCTTTTTTCCTGTTATCTTTTAATCCTTTCTCTATCTCTCTTCACCATCCCTGTCATGCCCCTGTTACCCGACAGGTCTTCGGGGAGACGGAGCCCGTGCGGATGACCTCAGAGGGCTCCGACTGCCGCTGTAAGTGCATCATGCGGCCCCTAACGCGGGACGCCTGCAACCGGCTACGCAGCGGCGGCGCCCGGCCGGAGGATTTCTACTCCGTGGAGACAGTCAGCTCGGGGTCGGACTGCCGGTGTTCCTGCACCGCACCCCCATCCACATTGAACCCCTGCGAGAACGAGTGGAGGATGGAGAAGCTAAAGAAGCAGGCGCCTGAGCTGCTGAAGGTGTGGAGGCCGTGGGCAGAGGGGCAGTGCAGAGCCCGTATCACAATAAACAGGGTCCCTTACTGAAGGTGTGGAGGCCGTGGGCAGTGCAGAGCCCGTATCACAATAAACAGGGTCCCTTACTGAAGGTGTGGAGGCCGTGGGCAGAGCAGAGCCCGTATCACAATAAACAGGGTCCCTTACTGAAGGTGTGGAGGCCGTGGGCAGAGGGGCAGTGCAGAGCCCGTATCACAATAAACAGGGTCCCTTACTGAAGGTGTGGAGGCCGTGGGCAGAGGGGCAGAGCAGAGCCC